TGAACCGCCAGGGGTACGGAATAATGGCGAGATCTCTTGTCAGCAGCTGACTCATCCCTGTGGCAGGAGGCTCTGATCGTTCTGAGACTAGTTTATTTCTTGCCTATTCTAAAGGAAATGACATGCTTTGTATATATAGATCTATCTGTAACATGTGTACTAACAGACTGATAAGGCTAACAGATGGGGTTTCGTAAAAAAAAAGTTTCATAAAAAAAAGCTAACAGATGGGTATGGATCTAGTAAACTATAATTAGCTAACCATGCATTGAAGCCAACTATCATGTAAATCATGTGTGCATGCTAATCCAGCTTGCTAGTTCCTGGACGCGAGCTGCTTTTGGTTGGTGCACTGCTTCTGTATGCTGCTTCTACCTTGCCGTGTAGCCAATGGCCCTAAGCCCATGGCCCCATAACACATCAAGTACCATGTAATTTGGATTAAGTTTTTATTTGTATCCGTAAAATACATTAGCTCTAAATTCTGAGCTCTCAAGGTCCTCAAAGTTATCATGAGATGCTTCTATCAAGTTACCAGGAAGCTTTGCATGTCAAGAACCCATTTTTTGGTGGTACCATAATACATGTTGAACTAGTGATTTTTCGAGCCTCTACTTTACTGGCATCTTTCTTATTGATGCCCAGTTCGTCATTTTTTTTTTTTGCATTAAGTGACATTTTATAAATTTGTTTGCTTACACTAACAATTTCAGGCCAAACAAAAGAAGAACAATCGTAAGGTTAAGGACAAGGAAAGAGAAGAGAAATCTGATTCAAATTTTCTAGAAAGGCGTCTGGATGGAAGCACAAATCATGACAGGGAGGACTCTAAGCAGGTAGGGCAATCTGCTGTGAAAGCTGATAACTTTGGAGAAGGTGCTTTAGATTTATCAGACAAACTAAGTGGATCAACAGAGGTATGCCAAACTGACACGTGTGATACGATTATACAACCTGTGAATGCAATGAATGATGTTGGTATTGAGATGAACAATTCACAGACATGTAAAGATGACGATTCTACTGTGGACATCGAGACACTGGTAACATCTGTGTCTGCTGCTGTGAACAGCATACGAGGCAAAATAAATAATTTGCTAGACAGTACAAGTCTTATAACGCCTAATAGGTCAGTTAGCATTTCATCCAAACTTCGCGATATTTCTCTTGGCAGCTTGGATTTAATAATTTATCATAACTGAATCACAATTTGGCGCAACAGAGGAAGAAGTCGGCGCAACAGGGGCATCAGCAGTATAATCATTTCCCAGTATGAAGATGACCTTCCCTCATCTAGCTGCTCAGACCGCAACATGTCTGTCTGTGGTCCAGCTCCAAGGCGTGACCAGGAGACTGCTCTACTCACCTTAAAAGATCGGCTTCGTGAGCTTGGGCAACGACTACATGAGGTGAAGCATCTGTTCTCAAAAAGTATTGGGCACTATTTATAATTATGCTTTAATTGTTATTGAATGTTCACTTTAATTTAGGACAGATCTGCCTTACTCGAGCGCACTCTTTAAGTTTATTTTAGCTTTATCACAATTTTATACCCCTGAGTCTGGTTTGCATTGTTGATATACTCAAGATATAGCTGCCGATTTTCAATTTGGAATTTTAGATCATCTTTTTGAGATACTTTTTTTCGCTAAAAACATTACTTCATGGTTTCTGGCTAAGATTTTCATTGTATTTGACTGAATTATAGTACTTGTAGAAAACTCTAGGATTTTTCTGGGAAATCTACAAAATGTAAGATGCAGATCTATGATTCTATAAATACAATGCTTTGGAATTTGATTGTGATTGCTACATAGTTCAATTGCAGGGACAAACACCAGAGCTGTTGCTCTAATACTGTGGATATGTTTTGGCGAGATAACACATATCACTTGATTATCATGATCTAATTGGCAGAGCAACATTTCTCCCTTTTCTGTTGTATATGTACAGAAAGCACAGACCACCTCCAGTTCTGTGAATACGCTGTAGCTGGATACATGAAGATTGCATTCTAAATGTTTTGTTTCTTCTGAAAACGTATATTTGGTGACTATATTTGTAGCATATTACTTGGTAGATGTCCTACAAAAGAATTTGGTGATTCATTTCTTGAGTTCGAAGCTTATTTAATCTTATACTAAGATTATACATATTCTGTAGCACTTCTATCTATCAGCTATCCTGCTGCTTTATTTAGCTGCCAGTAAAAAAGTTGATTAGTTTGTTTGCATTTATGTTTGTTTCAGAAAGAAATTGAGGGCAGGGAACTGCTCAAGGCCCACTTGGAAAAGAAGGCAGCTGCTGAGGCCACAGCGGGTTCATCCTTAGCATCCTCATCTAACTCAGAAAAGACCCCCCAGGTTCTGAAGGGGCCAGAGCAATCCTCGGTAATTGTTAATGATGCAAATATTAATGCACCACTTCCAAAGGCTGTACCTGTAGCCATAAGTGACGACAGCAATGGAGCTGTTCCAGCAACGGCAACATCCACCATGAACACCAAATCTGTGCTTGTCAGTCCCACTCCAAGTAAACTTGAGCAAGTTTTGTGTGAAGAACATGTATCAAGTTCAAGCCAGCAAATCAATAAAGCTCCTCTGACGCCCTCAAGATCACTAGTTGATAATAAGGCTAACCCAACTCCCCCAAAATCACCTGTGCCACAGGCTGATACAGTTGTTAAAGCTACTCCAGCTCCACTCAAATCACCATTGCCACAGATTGATACAGTCGCTAAAGCTGCAGCTCCCACAAAATCTTCTACATCACAGCTTGATAAAGTTGCTAACATACAAACTGCCCCCAAATCACCTGCACCCCAGGCTGATGAAGTTGCCTCACATAACTCAGTATCGCGACAGATTCTGTCCACATCTATCTCCAAGACTCAAGAAGATACGGTTTCTGAGAGGGCTTCAGTTGTTTCTGTACCTGGAACTCCTACGCCAATGTCAAGGCCTACAAGTGCACCTCTGCTACAGGTACCAAGATCAACTATGCCACCTACACCGTCAGTCCAAGTTTCTCCGTTGCTTTCACGTTCACTGACTGTGTCTGAACGGCCAAACAATGAGCCTTCACCTCCGGCCCCAATTTATGTAACACAGACATATCGAAATGCAATCCTTGGTAAGGGCCATCTTGATACAACTCCAGCAAGTCTTGAGCAATTAACTTCTGTTTGCCCAAATACTGCAGTTTCACAGCCATGGTCAGCATATGCGATGGCAACATCGGTCATGGCTCCTCCTTTCAAAAGGAATGACCGATTACCAGGTAAGCAAGGCTTCATTTTTGGGCCTAGCAGGGCAGAAGCCCTTGATAACCGGCACTCATGGAAAGGTAACAGTGATGTTAACAGACATATGTGGAGGGATGATGTTCCTAACCAGCAAATGACCAATTGTGATGTGCATGTGCACCAGTCGAAAGATATTTCTTATCAGCAATTAAGCAGCAGTGGGACAGAACAGCGCAGATTGGGTGGACTACAGAATAGGGAGCTCCAAAGGGAGATACCTGCTGCAAGCTTTGTTTCACGCCAGCAGTATGGGTCAGTGGCCGAAGAATTCCCTCACATTGATATTATAAATGACTTGCTTGATGAAGACCAAAGCAGTGCGCATATGGCAGTCTCTCCCCTCCATGAGTATCATACATTTGGTTTGCCATTTTCTTCAGGAGGCAATATGGCAGACTCAGAAATAGCTTCCGTAAGTAGTTCTGTCCGGTTTGACTTGACTGACCCTTACTATGACGAGGGTTACAGGAGGGCCTATGATGACACACAGAATGCTCTGCATAGGTTGGATGCTTACCCCAACGGAAGGTTGGACTCAACTGCACCGCAGCGTTGGCCATATAGCCATCCAAATCCAGCTGTGAACCTTGCAAATAATCCTAATGTATTTCCACAGCAGATGGGAGAGTATACTAATTTAGCTAGTGGGAGGGTGAATGGGGAATATTCAGATTATATGTATCGCTGTGCCAATGGGCAATGGTGATGCCTGTATACGACCCATAATAATACTTGTAACAAACCATGGTGCCAAGTCTAAAGTTCGCCATGTCCTTTAATTTGAATTGTTTTAAGTTCAAAATAGGAAAGAAGGAATACACCATGTAAAATTGTACCTGCATTCAGCCTATCTCGTGCTTGTATGTTATTTATGTGGTTCGAAGAGCATATAACTGCAGCTAACAAGCCAAGCGTATATATCGCAGCCCTGTCGCCTATTGTTCGCGGAATTTTATAGTGCTTGCTTTTGATTAATGTGTCTTGAAAAAGTGTTTTGACATAATGACATGATTGGCTTCTTGGGAAAAAAGCTTGATGTGCTTATTTTTACGGCATCTGCGTCTGATAACTACAGGACGAGAGACATTTTCAGCCCGCCTTTGCTGTAAAATTGGAGGCTAGAGACGTTTTAAAGCGTAAAAGCGTATACGTTATTATTATAGTTTTGTCATAAGTCAATCTTATTTAAGTTTAATGAAATTTATAAATAACTTAATTAATACTCCTTTCATTTTAAATTATAAGATGTTTTGACTTATGTATCTAGACATAGTGTATATCTAGGTGCATAGCAATAATATATATAGAAAACTTAAAACGTCTTATAATTTGGAATGGAGCGAGTACATTTGAATTTTTTTTATATAAACTCAGTTGAAGTTAGAGAAGTTAAACAAACATCTTGGAACAAAGGATGCACCTACCGGATTACCAGGTCATGTCCACTACCAGGTACTTACGGAACGTCTCAGCCTATCCGGTTTTGTTTGTTGAAAAATTATATGCCTTCTATGCATCGAAGATTCCTTTCCGTGAATTTCCTTCAAGATAATTACAACAGTATCTGGTGCCTACTTACAAGAAGAATTTCTTTTCATTTAGATGATACACACATGATGCACAATTCATATGTTGATTCGGTATCTATTGCACAAATAAGTTTTGAGAAAATGACTATTATACACATTTTGGAATTCTACTTCTTGTCAATAGCAATTGCTCGCAGTTCTCTCAGATTGCAAGCAATTTCCTGTATAAACATCAAACCTTCGCCGCCATTCCTGAGGGAGTTGATGCTATGTTCAAGAAAACTGCAATCTCCTTCTAGTGTCTTCAGTCTTCTGTTCAACTTTGCAATTTCTTCCTGCACTGCAACTAGATCAACCTCCCCACTAGTTGTCGATGAGCCAGCTTCCTTGCTCTCTATCGAGCTTTTCTGGCAGTGTAACGAGAAGTCTTCTATGACGTATACTTTGTCGGAGAGGTCATCCTTAACATCTGGACTGGGTAAATCAACAGAAACACTGTTGTTGGAGTAGAATTGGAGCTTTTGCTCCAATTTTCTCAAACCACTTGCTATATATGCCCTCTCCTCTTCCAAACTCACCAAGGAATTTATGCCCTGCTGTGTGTTAATCAAAGGATCTTCAAGATCACTAACGTCAAGCATAGCTGTATCCCTATTTTCTTGTTTAAAAGCCGCTTGATTGCCTCGTTCCTCTATTGCTCCACCTCCATATTGTCTCCTATAGTTTTCGAGCTCAATTTCCAGCTCCTCTAATTGTTGTTCTCTTTCAGCGAGTAACTCGTTAGTTTTCGCCAGCGCTTCACTGTCATATTCAGCTTGCTCTTCCATCATCCTTTGGTAATGCGAAGCTTCCATCTGCATTGCAGCCTTGTCATCCTGCAACTTGGTGATCATAGCCAGAGCTTGACTTGCAGCAATGGCTGAGGCGTTCCTCTCTTCTTCCAGTTCCCTGCAGAGTAGGTGTATTGATTTCCGGTCAAGATCAATCTGTCGTCTCAACCGGTCAATGGTGCTCTCACCTTCCATCTCACTGACAATGCTTCCGTCTAGAGACTCCAAACCGGAAGCATTCCTCTCAAGTGAAATTCTATTGGTAATGTTCTGCACTACCAACTCATCACCACGTCCATATGGACGTGGGCTAGGGCCTGGATCGACCCATGGTGCCTCAAGCCCCCTGGAAGCTGAGAGCTGAGATAGCAGTAGCCTCAGTTCTTCGTTTATGCTAGAAGTAGAGTCCTTTCCAAGGATTACATCCGTCAAGGTAGGGGATGGCAAGCTACCCTTGTTGCCAATGGCAAGTCTATAGGCTTCATTCATGCTAATCTGAGTGCTTAGAGATGGTCTCCTTTCAACAATGCTGTCACTTGTTTTTGGGTATTCCTCGGTGGCACTATGATCTTGAGGTACTTCACCACTTGATCTTACGGTAATTGCTGATATATGAGGTTCGTCCACATAATCTGAGCAAAATAGCTTAATGTAAGGGCCAATTTTATTAATGTTTGTGTTGGACATAAATCATTTTTTACTAACCTTTATCTATTAAGTCTTTGGGAGCACTATCAAAAGGACCTTGGACTATCAGTTCGTGTGCCCCCATGTCACCAGTGGGTTCAATTTTCTTAGTACAATCTTCAACTTCACCACACGTTTTGGAACCAGCACCAACTTGTGAAACATGGATATCCCCGCAATTATCTAACAAAGGAAACATGAAGTCCTTTATTTAGGTTTAATTATCAAAGGTGTATAAAGCCAATGGGAAATAAAAGCCAAACCTTTCTGATTTGCGTCTTCTGAAGCACCATGATGAGCATTCTCTAGCACCAGTTCATTTGTATGTGGATCAGCTGCTGACGCACTTCTCTGATGAAACTCACCACTTGATCTTCCAGTAATTTCTGGCACATGAACTTGTTCCAGAATACCTAGCAAATTTTTGCTGTGTTAGGGTTAAGTGGAGAAATGCTAAACACCATTTCATTTGTAATCAAGAATCAAGAAAGCATACATTTTATATTTCCTTCTTCTGAAACAGCATAGTGCTCCTCTAGTATTGTGAACTGAGATGTATATGGATCAGCGTTGCCTTCATTTGTGCTCTGAGATGGTTCAATCTCACCAGGAACCTGTGGTAGCTCATCACTTGGCATAACTGGAATTTGTGAAATACCAGCATCTGCATGATTATTCATCCAATCATATAATTTATCATTTGAAAAGAAGTGGCAGTAGAGGCAATCATTCCAGTTTGTGAAGCAAAATTTACCTTCTAAACCTGAATTTTCTATAACAAGTACAGGATCATGCCGGGGTGCCCATTTTCTGGATAGGCTTTCTTTTTCTTCCGTCTGGTCCACATCACCTCCGCTATTTGGATGATCATCCACAGCAGGACACGCCGAAGATGTATTGCAGGTGTCTTCAACACTGGGCTCCTTCTTGACAATTATTTCAAATTCCTTGATCACCACAGGGGAAGGAAGAACGGGTTGCTCACAAACTGCATCTTCTTGTAAGTCTTCGTCCATAACACTAGCTTCACGAGATTGTGAACTTTTCACATCATTGGCACAAGGGACCTCAATCTCAGAGTCAGATGTCATCTGTAGCAGACCGTCTCGCTCATTAGACCTGTAGTCAGTTTGGTGGTATATATCTTTAGGCTCCAAAGGCTCGTCCACTTGACATACTACAGAGTACTCTGTGTAAGTTTTTGGTGAGCCAAACGCTCCAGTAGGCTCTAGTTCTGCATTCTTTCTAGAGGACAAAGCTACACCCCGTTGCTTAAAATGGTGTCCACAGCACGAGCAAACTTTTTCACGAGGGGAATTCAAAGTATCATCAATTCTTTGTTTGCTATCAAGTACATTGGCATCCATCACAGTCTCATCTGTTTTATCATCATCGGAGACTTTCCCACAGCACCCTTCACACATATTTTGGGCTCCCGCGAGCTTCTGGTGGAGGCTGCAGAAGGCCAAGGATGAAATCTCCGACTTGTGGGTTTTGCAGATCAACTCCCTATAGAAGCATGGTTTCTCGTTGCCCAGGACGTGATCAAGCCTTGAGCAGAAAGGGCATGGCGCTGGTAATCTGCAGAGACGGGCGAATCTAGTGACCAAGAAGCTGTAAACCGCATCTATGAACAGCAGGAGCATCAGGATCCACTCCAGCAACGCCGTGGACAGTGCGCTCGATAGTCGGGGCAAGATTGGCATCCTTGTACCCATCTCCAAAAGTGTCTCAAATCTTCAGAACAGTGGCTTTGGAGTAGGATGGCTGCAAGGAACCAAACCAAGTTAACGAACAAATTGAAGTGTGCGGTATGATGTTAGAAGTATGTGACATCTACTGCGTGATAAAAACTAACAAGAACCTATGGGAGCAATTGGTATCAAAGCTCAGTACGGCTACTGCCTTGAGAATATTTATGGTGAACTATTAAAGCTAATCATAGATGGATAAAAGGCAGGGAGCCCAAACACCAGGCTGGAAACCACTAGATATACATAAACTAAAAGCGTCCCGCACCAAACTTAGTGGCAATTGACAGATACCGACCACCAAGAGAATATTGGAAAGCACAAATTCAAATAAACGCTCACCAATCATGCTACATGAATACTTGAACAGGAAGTAGTACCTAACGAACACATCAGAAGTTTGCTGTAAGGACAACGCCACGGAGCATGAGAATTGGATTAAAGATGGCAGGGAATTCAAAGCTATTCTTTCCACGGAACCAACTAAACTCAGCTAACATAACCAAAACTGGAACCCGGACATAACGGGGAGTCCAAGTTACCAACAAGATTTTCAAGTAGCTAATCAATAGCACAACCATCCAATCCACTAGCAGAAGGAACTGAAACAACAAAGAAGCTCACGAGCCGAGAGCTGACCATGACATAGACGGGAGAATTAAGGTTACAGACAGACCTGGCATGGAGTCAGTCAAGGATGAGCAAGAACGCACCTGGCGATTGGCGAATGAATCGCAGCCCCACGAGATCACGATCTGTGATGGCAGCAGGATGGCGGGCGGTCTTGTCGGGAGCAGCGAGCGTCCAAAAAGGTGGCTGAGCAAGCTAGCTAAGCTAACTAGTAGCAGTAGAGGTGGAAATTAAAGGTGGCGTGGCGAGCACCGACCAGTTGCCTCCCGTCTTGTTCCCAGCTCTCTCTATAGGGGAAGTGTTTGATTGATTCCCTCTTCCCGGAAGGAGCCAAAAACGCAAGCGGGGCGAGGTGGTGGTGGCGTAGATGAGGGCGGTGGCGTCGCCACGCCGGGGGCGGAAACGGGGCCGCGGGCTCGCCCGGACTGGACAGCGACGCGAGCCGGCCTCGGCCGAACGGCGGGCGGTGGTTGCGCTCTCGGTGCGTTTGCAGACGTGGATCGGCAGAGTAGGTTGAATGCTAACCAGTGCGGGATAAACAAAGGTTTGAACGAGTGATTAGCGTGCGTTGAAACGTAAAACCGTGGTTAGGCTGGCGCGCGTGCCGGATCCAGGCCTCCCTGCTCAGGAAAAGATTCCGGCAGCAGCGCGGTTACGCTTAATGGCCCGTTCGGTTGAAGGGGAATGGCTCCCTGGAAATAATCCAGGCTGGTTTCGTATTCTAATTTGAATAGGCTTTGTCAATTGAAATTATTTTTGGCTAGGTTTTAGCTTAACCGAACGTGCCCTAAGTTGAGAAACAGTGAGTCCTGTAGTCGTGTGTGTTCACGGAAGGTTATGACCGGTAAAAAAAAAAGTTAACCAGCTCCAAGGTTGACCGCGGACAGAAGGTGGAATACTGTGATTTTTTTTGCAAATTGGAATAATGTGAAATTGGAAGGCTAAGATATTTTTGGATGCCAGCAGTCAATTCATTAAAACTTTGATCACTACTAATTTCGTACATTGAGATTTAATGTTTTAAAACGATATATATATATATTGGTTTATCTGGAAAATGTACTTATAGGGAAATGGTGAGTGCAGTATTTTAAGATAGTGTTTGGTACAGAACGAGACTAGCCCACTATTACAGGTGTTTGGTTGAAAGACTCGCAGAGTCAGAGACATCCTACCTAGATTATTCCATATAATTTGGACTAGCTCGTTCCACCCTCACGACATGCTTCTCCGTTTCCTCTCCGCTACTACTAGGCGGCCGAGCTCTCATGTGGCGACAAAAGGGCGTGGTGTGGCTGGGCAGGCCATTGGCAGGAGATGGCTGGACGCGGGTGAGCTCCTCGGGCGCAGGCTCCTCCGGCGTGGAGCTTCCCGACGGAGGCGAGCTACCTAGCCCGACGCGGGCTTCTCCGAGCACGAAGCTCCCTAGCCCACGAGCTCCCCGACAGAGCCCCAAGCTCCGTGATGGCGGTTAGCGCCCCGAAGGCTCCCCAGCCCGACACAAGCTCCCCGATGGCGCCACAAAGGTTGGGCGAGCTCTCCAATGAGACATGGCGGGCTCTTGGCGACGAATGGCGATTTCTGATTAAATGCATCTAGACGATGGAAAGCAGGTCCATGGATTACTGTGTCTAATGGTGTTAAAACTCACATCCACTTCATCTCACTAAATCTTTTCAACCGAACAAAAAAACTAGAATGACTCTATCCCTCAAACCAAACACTAGATGGAATGACCTCATTCCACATTATCTCTAAACCAAACACAGCCTAAGAGACGGGAGACTTATGACACTTAAAAAACTAATCTAGGCTCATACTAAATTTTTTTGGTAAAAGAAACATGATCATGTCTATCTAGGTGTGCAGTAAGGTTTTATCTAACGTGACAATTTTGTTGTATAAAAGGTATTACATCCTAAACCTAGTCATATCAAGTACTCTAGGAAAGTAAAGGCGCACAACTTGCAATAAGTAAAAGCGAAAGCATACAGTAAGTAAACAAACAAGCAAAACGGCACAATCTTGGCATGAACATTTGTCACATGCCATTACTAGCCAATCTGCCATCTTTAGTCCATATTGGAGCTCTTCCAATGATAGATGTATAAATTGAAAATATATGATTAGGTAGAAAATTAGGTAAAATACTTTGCTTTGTACCTTGACAAACATGTTGAAGAAGTGCAGGTCCTTGATTTGCACGATGTCGCACTTCATCTCCTGAGGATGACCAATCGCTGTAGGCTCTGTAGAAATCAGCTAGGTCAATTTACTAAAATCAGCCAAGCCGGTTTTTTCTAAGGTAGTTGGAAATCACCGTTTGCTGTCCACTCCGACACCTCCTTGTCTCAAGGGGTCTGATCTTCCACGTCTTGATGTGCTTCATCAACTGAACATGGTTTGGCTATTGGTTGTTGCTGATCAAGGCTTTTAGCATGACATGAACTAGATAGAGCTACAACCCTTTAGCTTGGTCTTCACCATTTTTATAAAGATAGACTTGTTTCTTGTGATGCAATGGATTCAGAACTAGTAATGCTTTGTTTTGGCTTTAGAAATAACTGAACTATCATTCATATCCAAATAAATTGGATCTTTTCCAGTTTTACGAATTGACAGTCATTGATTTAACTTTCCTTCATGGTCAATAATAATGCAGTAATAACAGGATTATTTTTATCATCTGATTTTTCAAATCTTTAATCCAATTAGCGACAAAATCAGCCAATTAGCAACAAAATCAGAATAATAAGTAGATAAAGTACCTAATGATAGTACTTCCTCTAGCAAATAAATCTGAGAAGGTAGTAACTTTATTTTAGTGAGCGTACCTTCTTTTATTTTTCCGACAGAGGACCAAAAATCATATGTATTCTATCATTTATTTCGTGCACAAGTTGATCCCTATATCTTGATTTTTGCCAATATTGCATTATGCTCATCATGTGGAGATGTGTGCATGCTTGTTGAATTTGATTCGGCTAAAATTACTAGAAACATATGAAGTCAAAACATAAGCAGGAAAGGAATAGTCAAAGTATAATTTAGGAGTAATATTGCGGTGTAGTACCTTGATACACCTCCATGCTCATCAATGGATCTTGAACAACCTAATTACTTCGTGTTGATATTCACAATGATAATAGCAACGGTAGCACGTAGTCTAACAGCAAGCAAGACCATTGTTGATCAATAGCATTAGCCTTTTCTGCGACGGTGAAACAAAGATAATATATCAATAAAGCAATTGGCTAGGACAGATAGATTTGCCTGTAAGGTAAAGCCGGAACAATTGTTCCCAACGGAGTTCGTGTAAATTGTGTTGACACAATTATGGTTCCACGGCCAAAGAGCTAGAATGCTCGGATTACAAACAGATCGAGATGGCGTGATCCTGCAAAAACGGGCCTAGCTGGTTCCAAGAATTGGCTTAGGCAATTTCCCCAGGTTTAGAAATAGGTAGGTATCATGCTTATGAGCAAACCGGCAAAGGGTACTTATCACGCTTCCGTGATGACGAACGTGTAGTCTCCATGCAAACTACGAAGAAACCGTTGAAACACATGACCGTGAGGGATCCTGTCAAGGCGTAGACGTCGCCAGGTTGACCTATGTCAGCCAACAAGCGACACCTCTGGTCGTTGGATCAAGAGATAAACAACAAGCTGGTAATTAGAAAAGTAGTGCATGAGAAGACATAATAAAAAGTTATCTTGTAGAATGATTTGTGCGATTGTATTTAATTCAATTGACCATGGCCCTTTTATATATAGAGGCATGGGCTTATTTGGTGAGGGGTCAAAATACGACGACAAACTCGGATTTGCATGCAAAAAAATAGTTGACATGGTAGATCTTTCTGATATCGTAGTTTCCTCATCAAGACTCCAAATTATAGATCTACATATGCATTTTGATTATCTCGACGAGAAGAATGGTGAAGTCTATTTTATATTTTGAGAAAGTTACCTAGCTAATTTTGGAAAACCTATTAGGACGGCTAGGGTAGTTTTTCAAGATAAGTGTAGATCAAATTTCTGTCTCTCTCCTACACTTAATTTTTGGGAATTACTAGCGTCCGGACGTCTGGAGCAGATGAGTGCGTCCGGACACCCTGCGTATGCTACTGATCTAGCTTCCCACCCGCGCCTACCGCTGCGTCGTATCGCTGTTGCACGCGCACGTCCGTCCCCCGTCTGCCTCACCCTGCCCCACACGCATACCCCGCTCCCGTCTGCCTCACCCCGCCCCGCACAAGCACCCCGGCTGCGCCTGCCACTCCTTCCCCCTGACCACCTCCTCTCTCCACGCGGGCAGGACCC